CCCATTTTACTTACTCAGACCATGCGTTATTTGTTCAGTGAAATTATCAACGTGGTCTGGTGAAAGACGGGACCCGAGGCGATTAACAATAAAATTCCTGCACTTGAACTGGGCCGCACTATGGTACAAGTGCAAGTCTCACGGGCCGCAAGCATATCGTTTACATATTACGTCACCAATACAAACCAACCAGAATTATAATAGCCTATTATAACCTAAATATTATATCTAATCGATTACGTTCATTGAAATAAATAATTATACTCACCATTAATAAAACACCTGATGCTGTTGGGAGCTGACCAATTTTGTGGCCTGTAGTGAATATGATTACGCATCGCTCCAGTAGAGTTATTGTAAGACAATTTGACATTACACAGTTTACATCAAACTTTTCCGTTTCCTTCTAATTCAAAATAATCCCACACCTTCTCATCTTTCGCATGGTCATTTTTGAACTCGCCGCAACTGACACGAAGAAAACGCATGTGAGGTCTGAGGTAAAAATTTAGTTTTCAGATAAACTTTTAAAAATAATCCTTCTTTCATCTTCGGAACACAAATTAAGATATTTTTGATGGAATCTGAGAGCTGTCTGACCCTGCATAGACCGCAATACAGATCCGGCTTGATGCAGCTGACACAGAACAGCATATGCTGTTTACATCCAACGGATATTCTCCAAAATGGCGCTACAGGGTGATGCAGAGGAGACGAATTGTTGAATAAAGTTTTTTTTTTTTTTTCACACAAAAAGTAGGAGATATTTGGAGATATTTAGCATTACATCACTTGCTCACCAGTGGGTCCTCTGTAAGTGAATGGGTGCCATTAGAACAACTCCAGCCCATCATGTTTGTAATAAATTCATCATTACAGTGTTTTATCTTCCAAACGTAGCTTCCACCTAAAATATCATTCCATAACGCATAATAATGCTACTTCCTGTGGAAGAAAAAAATCCATCCCATTGCTAAAAACATCTTAATGATGGATTTGATTCTTACAAATGCAGAGCTTTTCACTTTACAAGACATTAATTGATGGCCTGGAGTCGTGTGAATTAGGCTACTTGTGGATTATTGTGATGTTTTTATCAGCCGTTTGAACTCTCATTGAACTCTCATTCTGACAGCACCCATTCACTGCAGAGGATCCACTGGTGAGCAAGTGATGTAATGCTACATTTCTCCAAATCTGTTCTAATGAATAAAAAAACGTATCTACATTTTGGACGGCCTGAAGGTGAGCACATTTTCATTTTTGGATTATTCCCTTTAGTGTGTATCAATCAAATCATCTGCACAGTGTTTCTGCAAACATACAAAGTAACAGTCTCAACAAATAATAGAAACGCAATCAGTGTCAACCACCTGTTTACATCTTCACAGTCAGTCTACTTCATTTGTGTTTTCATCAATTCATCTCTTTTCAATCAGTCAAAGAACAAATTAGTATCATTTTTAAAACCGTTTGGATAACCAGTTCTAGCAACAAACTACACATACAAATGCCCATCTGAACCTTCATAACAACCACTATAAAAACGGGATTGATCTTTCAAAGCACATCTCTGACAAGTCAGACACTAAACAAACATGGTGTGTAAACATGGTCACCTCACCTCTCAGGACATATTTGACAATAAAACTATGTGGTCAAAAACCAGGCTTGATTTAGAAATCACAAGACAGGCGAGACTGATACTTCTGGGTAACCTCATAATCTTGCAATGACACTACCTTAGCAGATCAACATAAACGGTAAGAGAAATTAAAAATGCACAGTGAAGAAGCATGCGTGATTGTGCGCGCGCACAAGTTGCCAACAAAGCGCTCGTGACTCGGGTGCAAGACATAAAACACGAGCCAAACTATCAAGTTCAACCCTATCCGAACTCTCTAATAACCCATATGACCGGGTCTACTGTCCTTCCAATGACTTAATGTCGCGGTGTTATGATTGTATCAGCTCATGAATAAAACAGAGATGATCACTATGATCGTTGGCACACACACTGATGAGGATGATGATGCTAGCCTGCTAGCTAATGTCTCTTGTATTAATAAAACATAACACCTCCTCAACGACAGCTCACAGCGGCTGTGATTAACACACGGAGCTAATTACAAGAGCCATAAACTAATCCAATCATCTTCCGTAAACCGAGGAGACGGTCAAAGGCGGAACTTACCTGAAATCCTTCTCTACAACATCAGAAATTTTTTGTTTTGAGATGTTGTAACTGAGCAGCGGCGGTTAGCGAATGAGTCAAGTGCCGCTTCAAGTGTTTTGAAGTCGTTTTACACCTCTGGCACACCGATATTAATGATATGGCTGTCACTTATCAATATTTATGGTGGTGAGAAGTGTTGGTAACGGGTCAGTGTTGGGGCACAGTGTTGTCTTTCTCTCCCCCCACCCCCGAAAGCCGCTCTTCCTGCGAGAAGAATAATGTGCGCGTGAAAACGCTCTGCCCACTTTCCAGTGTCGTGCGCTGCCATAGGTTGAACGCGAGCAGAGCGTAAGACACGGACCAATCGGGTTGGTTATTTTGTGATTTAAAAAAGCGCGTGTTTTGAGTAGTTTTATGTCTACTACTGTCTAAACCAGTGATGGGCAAACTTGGCCCTTCCAGGCCACTTTCCTGCAGAGATTTGATCCAACCCTGATACGACTCACCTGCCTGTAGCCTTCTAGTAGTCTTGAAGACAATGATTAGCTGGTTCAGGTGTGTTTGATTAGGGTTGGAGCTAACCTCTGAAGGAAAGTGGCCTGGAAGGGCCAAGTTTGCCCACCCCTGGTCTAAACAGTGCTAGTACGATGGTAGTGAGGCGGATTTTGATTCACATAAGAGATTCAAATTTTTTAATCCGTTTGTGTTTTCTCTCATTTTAATCAAATCTAAACATGCACCATCCGGAAGTCTTTGATTGCTGCTTTTTCAGCGTCTCACGCATGAGCACCGATTTGGGCTGTAACTGTTTTTGTTGTTGTTTTGAATTTTCTTTAGTTTATGAGTGAGCCAGTTTAATTTGCTACAAATTATTTATTGAATTATTTATTTCATGTCTACAAATCTGATAGCTTTAAGCATTATTGTCCCAACAAATGCAAATATTTGTCCATCACATTATAATTTCTCCTCCACTGATGTACTTTTATCAAACTATAGAAAAACTACAATAATAGCATAAATAAAGAATTTCAGTAACGCCCTAACGATATTTTAATATGGTTATTATTGGTCATTTTTAAACAATTTTTAGGCCCCTTCTCACCTTGTTGTGAAGTTCTGTACGATTCGTACAAACTAACCTCCTTTTAGTAGGTCAGGTCCTGGTTCACTATTAAAGGGGTCATATGATGCTGCTAAAAATAACATTATTTTGTGTATTTGGTGTAATGAAATGTGTTTATGCGGTTTAAGGTTAAAAAACACATTATTTTCCACATACTGTACATTATTGTTTCTCCTCTATGCCCCGCCTTTCTGAAACGCGTAGATTTTTTTACAAAGCTCATCGATCTGAAAAGTGAGGTGTGCTCTGATTGGCCTCATGCATGTGATGGAAATGTTACGCCCCTTACCATATTGTGATGCCGTGTCCTGTATCGACGAGACAAAAACATTAAAACCCATTATAAACGAGGCATTTGTTGCATCCAGTGGGGACATAATTACGGATTATAATGACTTATACTGTCTTTTTACGTGTTGCGTTGCATCACGCCGCGTAAACATAAAACCATGTCTGCATTTGTGATCGGAGAAAAGACAAGCAACATGGCTACTCTTACACTGCTCAAAACTCGCATTTGAATCATCAGTGGAAAATTCTTTTTCGCTTTCACAACATGGCGGCTGCGGTGGCAGCAACAATAAAGTTACGCCTTCTTTCTTTGCGTGAACATTTGGGCGACGTTATGCAAATCTTCCCACATGGTGACATAGACATGTGGGGGCGTGTTTAAACGAGGAGTTTTAGTAGGGCATGGACCAGTCTTAACTTTTATAAAGAATATCTCTTTGGGTTTGAGACTTTAGTCTTTGCAACTTTAGGGATCTTATCTATTCATGAACAGCTTGTAACACTCCAAAGAGAAAGGAAAACGTGAAATTGCATCATATGACCCCCTTAAAGTGCCCCTATTAGGCCATTTCGAATATTGCATTTCATGCAGTGTGTAATGTAGCTGTATGTGAATGTAAACGATCTGCAAGTTGTAAAGCCGAAAGTGCAAGATAAAGTTATTGTCTACCAAAAAAAAGAATCGACTCTGAATAGCCGAAACGAGTCATCAGTAATTCGAATCCCACTTCCGTGACGGCTACAAATCATGGGTAATATATTTGCATAATTCCCGCCTATGTTGGCCCACCGCGAACAACTTGACTCCGCCCACAAACACGTCATTTTACTGACGACTGCTTCTCTAATCTCGGGGAGTTCAACGCGGGATTCACAAAACGCTTGCTCTTGAAATGGCTGCGTCCGAAAACTCTAAAATGCTGCCTTCGGAGGCAGCATTCCAAGGCAGGAAGGCATCAAGGCACGTCCAAATCCAAATTCTGCTTTACTTACTGTCTCCGGAGGGACCTTCTTCTGATCGAATTTTGAAGGCAGCATAGATGTATCCTTCGCTGCTATTGATATCCCACAATCCTGTGCGTTCCATTCCGTGACGGTTGAGCTAAAAAATAACGTTTGGTGGTCAGTTTGTGTGTAAATGTATATTTCTGACTTAACTTTTTGCACTTTTGATGTTATTTCTAGCGAGAAATCGGTATTATAGTAATTAAATATTCATTTAGTTATCACAAAAACTCGTTCTATTTTGTCGTAGATCATTAAACTGTTACGCTGCTTCAGAAGCCTGTCCGAAATCAGTTTCATGAGGTTCCTTCGTGCAAAAACGCTGCCTGCAAAGTCATTGCCTCGTAAGGCAGCAAGTCAGCGGTGCATTTCCACTGGCACGTAGCGAGCGTGTTTTCAATTAATTCCTATGGAAGTTGAGCTTAAACGCTCGCACGGTGTATTGTGGGATTGAAAGCGGCACAGAGAAAGCGTTGACAGCGGCTGAGAGCGTCAAAAAGATTGGGCATTCCTCGACTTTTATGCAAATGTCGAGCGAAAAACGCTGGGCGACAACCAATGGCTGTGAAAGGAAGAGGATGAAACTTTTCAGAGGCGTGCTCTACCCTAAATTTGACACGCCCCAAAGGCGTTGTAGCGTTGCCAGTGGCACTGAGCGCAGATTTGACGTAGTGGAAACGCACCGTAAAGTTTTCGGATGCAGCCATGGTACACAGTTATAGCAGTAGACCAATCACAACAGACTGGGCCATCTGACCAATCAGAGCAGACTAGGCTTACGGGAAGGAGGGGTTTAGAGAGACTGAATCATAGAACTGCTTCGAACGAATCGTTTGAGAATCGTTGGAAAATGAAGGGATATTAAATGCATATTTTTTGAGAAAACGAAAGCGTTTTGTGACCTTGCATGCATGTAAACCTATTGTAGGAGACTCCCAAAACAATATGGAACCTTAAAAATGGCATAATAGGGGCACTTTAATGTAATCTGTTTGGTTTGTTTCCGTTACGAAGGAGATATTAAACATAGCTACGTTTTCAGATGCATAATGGGAATAAGTAACATTTCATAAGCTTAAAGGTCCCATGGCATGAAAATTTCACTTTATGAGATTTTTTAACATTAATATGAGTTCCCCTAGCCTGCCTATGGTCCCCCAGTGGCTAGAAATGGCGATAGGTGTAAACCGAGCCCTGGGTATCCTGCTTTGCCTTTGAGAAAATTAAAGCTCAGATGGCCCAATCCAGAATCTTCCCTTTATGTCATCATACGGGGAAAGGTTACCTCCCCTTTCTCTGCTTTGCCCGCCCAGAGAATTTGGCCCGCCCATGAGAAAATGAGCTACTACCGTGTGAGGCGAGCGCAATATTTTTTTTTCCTCGAGAGACATCATGGCTTGCAAAAGAGCGAAGCATGGCAGTTGCCCCGCCTCTCTCCTCCTCATTAGCATTTAAAGCTACAGACACAGAAATGGCACGTCCTAAGGAAAGCTCATTGTGGGACTGGCTCGTAGTGGCTGAAATTCTGCACCAAGGCTGAATTTCGGGAAAGAGACTTCAGATACAGTACTAGGGACCACTTAGGCCTATATAAAAGCATCCAAAAAGCAGCATGTCATGGGACCTTTAAATCTGTTCACTTCTGTCTATGAGCAACATGACCTTGTATTTCCAGGATTCTCAAGCTTTAAACACCTAGCCGAGGAGGGACCACATTATTTTTGCAATGCTCTTTCAGAATGTACCCCTCTAGTGTGCTTTATAAGCACATACAGTGTGCGGCTCCCTGCTGTGTAAATGATTGGTTTATACTGTAGTCTTCCACACTTCGTGTTTCTCCGTCTCTGAAACGATGCTTCAGTCAGTCCCAGAGGATTCATTCAGCAGTGGGTCATTGAACATGACCGCTGAGCCCTGAATGCTCTACTTAACCTTCTGCTGTTCTGTCATGGATGTAATCACACAAAACAACATCATATCGTTTTACATTCTCAGTAACCATGTGTATTTTTAGTATGTACATTCACTTGGTGCATTTAACAACATGGGTATATTAATTGTGCTTTGGAAAAACTGACACAATCCTGTTTTGCATTTTAATAGATGTTAGGTGAAAATGTGCTGCTGTTTTGCATTTTATACAGTACACACGTTCAAGGGAAATGAACAGGATCCAGATCTTATCTCATTTTCTATTAGCATTCAAACTGAACTGAAATGCAAAGAAAAGAAAGATATATAAACGATAATGGTGAGGATATAGATTTGAATATTTAGAATAAGTTGAGTATAAAAATTATTTTGATTCATTTAGTGATTCCTAAAGCCATCTGCAGATACATCATTTCGTCAGTAGGTGGCGACTCCCCTGAGCGAGTCAATTAATTAATAATAATATATTATATAATTACATTATATAATTATAATGTAATAATGATTTATTTTTAAACTTTATATAATGTTTAAATAATAAATTATTCTAAATAAAATAATAATTACAATTAAATAAAAAATTTTAAAATAATTAAACAATAAAAAAAAAATTTATTTAGTCAACACGACCAATTCTTTTAAAAAAAGAATCTAGTATTATAATTACACAAGTATATACAAATAGAAAAATAATTATTTATTTAGTTAGCACATCAAAAATATACCTTTTTTTATACAGTCTATGGTCTAAAGCCATTTTCTTAGATTTCAGGGGCCGAGGGTGTCACCACCTGCTATATTACAAGCACAAGCATATTACAAGTGCAGCATTGTCTAACAAAGAAAAGGAAGCTGGGAAAAATAAATGGACACACTGTGGCATCATAGTGCTGGAGGGAAAAAAACAGA